CAAATCAATACTCCATCACATTCCTTGGGTGAACCCTTAGGTGCAGGCAAGGGCCAGGCTCTGGCAAACCCCTGGGAGCCGCACAGCCCATTTCTCTGGTACAGGCAAGGCTCCAGGCCCATTAGCACCCCTGAAACACTTGAGGGGACTCCACAGGGACCTCTGTTTCCCCACGGCCTCTCCAGACCTCGTAGCATTGCTGCTGGTGATGGAAACAGGCTGATGTCCCTTCCCATGGATGCTGTCACCACCAAAGGCAGGTTCTCAGCCCGGTGGCCAGCCCCAGCTGAGCTGTCAGGTAGCCCAGTCCCTTCCCAAGCACAGGCTGTGCTTTCAAAGCGGCGATGTCCATACCTACAAAGAGAACGAGGCAGGGGCCCTCATTCAGCTGCACGGCGTTGGAGTCTGTCAGCTCCAGCACGGGCTTGGGGTGCCAGGGGAACTCGCGGCACTCAACGTCGTTCAGCACCTCCACGCGCCCCTGCCGCGTGATCACGTCTCCCTGGGGGTCTAGGACGATGAGAGTCGGGATACCTGCGACAGAAGAAAAACAAGGGGGGGTCAGCCAAAGCATGAGCCGGCCAGCGACGGGGCGTGGGGGGAAAAGCCTTTTCCTATCGCCTCCGGCTCTGGCAGGAGCCCAGCGAGCAACGCTCGTGCAGGGTGTGGGAATCGGGGTCCCTGGATCCTGTTTCCGTCCTAGCAGAGTGCTGTAATTCAGCAGCCAGAGCAGGAAGCTAGGGGACAGCTCTGGCATTGCCTGCCCTTCCCTGCCCGAGGGCACACAGCGGTCACCGCTGCCTGAAGCTGATGCTCCTGGATGCAAACCCCACCGCACCATGCAGGGATCCTCCCAGCAAGCTCCTTCCTGCCGAGTGCCAGACATCCCTCCTGCACACAGGTGGTGCAGCACAGCCCCACGGGTGCCATCGCCCCAGTGCTGAGACGTGGCTGCCGCTGGAAGAGCCCAGTCCCTGGTTCGCAGGAACACACGCAAGCCTTTTTGCAGGGCGGACTACAGGCAGCAGCAGCCAGGAAGCAGGGTGTGATCCTTCCCAGAAGGGACGTTGTATATTCTGCAGCCACACCATATATTTTGCTGCCATGAACTCCTCCGTCAACCCCCACACCCTTCCTCAGCACTAACTGCCCAGCCATTTCCAGAGCACAGGGATGCGTCTGAAGTCATGAACGTTATTACCTGTTTCAGACACTGTTTTGGACCACCCAGCCCAGCAAGGCAAGCACCAGACAACACCAGTGGAGGAAAGGCCCCCAGACCAGCACTAATGACAGTGCTCAGGGCCATGGATGCGCCCAGGAATACCCAAAAGACAGCTCACACCTCCGCAAGCGAGGATGGAGTGGTATCACACACACTAAGACAGCAGACTTTGCATGCAATGCTTGCAAACCAACCTGGCATCCACCTTGCTTGGCCACTGCCCTCGTAAAAGGGAGGTGAAGGTGCCTGCAGCAGGGATTTAGCCCAAGTCACCCATTCAAACCTGGCCGGGCTGGCAGGATGGACAGCAGCTGGTGACCGTCCCATCTGATAAGGCACCAACAAGGCTTTCTGGCCATGGGCAAGTCAACAGGAGCAGCTCAGGTTGGTGACTTCATCTGGAAAGCACACCATTCCTTGCTCACCACGGAGACAAAGAAACACTCCACAAGGAAGGAAGAGGGGAGAGTTTGGGATCAGGCCCCAAGGGACAGGTCAAGGGACCAGTGTTCGGACCAAGCGCTGCTGTCTGCTTCTCATCATGTGGGGTTTGATCCGCTCGCTACCCAGCATCATTCCCCAAACAGCGACTGGCAGAGTGAGGCAGTTCAAATCCTCCTGCCCTCATCCAAAGGTTCATTTTAAAGCTCATTTGTTAGAAATATGCTGCAGAGCTATTCTCTGAGCAGGGAGGACCCAGCATCCTTGCTCCTGCCACTGCGCTCTCGTGTTTGTACAACAGTGGCTTACTCACAAGCTCACTGAATTCTGGGCGTTTCTCTAGGAAATACATGGCCGTCTGTCTGTCCCAGCCTGCCTGCAGGTCCGGG